GTGATTATGGCCAGGTACGTGTCAATAACCACTCCTTTTGTGCCACGTATTTGATTTACGTTAATATGTATTATTTATCAATAATATTGCATCTACATATTCATTTAAGTAATGGTTCAAATATTTTGGTCGAATATGCCCATTTAAACGCCGAAAGTTACACTCTTTCAGCGTGACACTTTTCTTGTTGTTTACAATATGGCGTCCAAGTAGAGTGGTCTTGGTTTAGTTTCGTACGCCACTTTTGATCATAAAATCGAAATTCTGCAATCAAAGTGGTGAATTTGATGTAATTTTACTATTATATAACACAAAACTTGACCATTCTGTTTATAGTTCTTTGCTTTCATAACATTAGAACAAGTGCTCAATTTACGTGTCAAAGCTTGATAGGAAGTCATAACAGCTGATTTGCTCACTTACTAGTCTAATATATTCTGAGAAATCTATTTCTATTTTTATCACTCTAACGGTTACTAATTCTTATCTGCACAAAATAATTACATGAATTTTTATGGTATAAACACTGAAATCATGACAATGGTATATCTTTGTAAGTGAGCTTGGGGTGAATGAACACTTGTATAGCCTAGGCCTGGTAATGATGTATGATGAGTGGATAACACTGATTTCTTTTGTTTCACTGTTAATTAATATGTTTATTCTGCTTTTATATGAAATAAAGATTAAATGAGTGAATTATTACTCGCTTTGCATATAACAACATTACAGTTGAATTTCTGTGTATAAATAACAGTATTTTACAGTCAGTCTTGATATTGCTACAGATACTCAAAAGACAAGGAAGTGGTATATATTTAGTGCTTATTTATTATAGTGCTTAATTCTTATATTCATTCTTTTTTCAGATATATTTTGTGTGTATATATATAGTGCTGTATATATTTTGTGATAATTTAACATTGCATTTTTTTTCAGTGACTTTATTGCATTTTAATTGTCATATTATTGTCTTTGTATTATCATTGTATTTGTCTAGTTTCTCATTTCATCATGTCTGTGTTGATTGCTGGTCATTCTCAGGCTAAGTATTTTTCGCAGTATTTGGATAGGGAGGAGGATGTTAGTGTTGTGTCTCAGAGTGGTGGTAGGATAGAAAATGTCTGGAGGAATATTAGGGATGTGGTTTGTAGTTATGATATTGTGGTTGTGCACAGTGGTGCAAACAATTTAATTCATGGTGATTCAGTGGAGTGTATGTTAGGAAAATATCAGGATTTGGTTGAAAGGATATGGCATGTTAATCCGGAGGTTGTTGTGGTGTTGTCTGCTATCCTTCCACGTGGTGACAATAGGGTTGGAGATAAGTTGGTCAGGCAGGATTACATTGATAGGATAAATAGGATGGCTAAGGAAGTCAATAGGCGTATATAAGTAGAAGGTATGCATTGTTGGAGTTTGTAGGACATAGGGAGTTTATGGAGAAAGGTGTTCTGAATAGGTCTTTGTTGAGTAGAGATGGACTGCATCTGAGTTTTTCAGGTACTAGGAGTGTTGTTAGGTCTCTGTTAGGTTGCATTAGAGGTGTTCGGATGTCTGGTAGGTTCATTTCTATATGGGATGTAGAGGAGGAAGGTCAGGAGTCAGTAGTGCAGGAGTCAGTGGTGCAGGAGTCAGTAGTGCAGGAGTCAGTTGTCCAGGTGTGTGATCAGGAGTGTACGGATTACAGGGATGTCTTGCTTAGACCAGTTGAAGTGGAGGTGTCAGTTCAGCCTGAGGAGTTCAGTATTGAATCTCAGGATTGGCCAGCTTTGCCAGGACAGGAGTCAGGTATGCAGCAGTTAGGTGTTGTTGAGTCAGAAGGTAGTTTGTCAAGAGGTTGTACAGGATTCTAGTAGTCAGGAGTCAGTTAGTGAGTTCGATGGTCCCAAGGTAGAAGGTGCTAAGTCTGATGATAGGAAGGTAGTTGGTGCTAAGTCGGGTGATAGGAAGGTAGTTAGTGCTAAGTCAGGTGGTCAGAAATCAGTTAGTAAGAAGTCTGGTTGTCCCAAGGTAGAAGGTGCTAAGTCGGGTGGTAGGAAGGTAGTTAGTGCTAAGTCAGGTGGTCAGAAATCAGTTAGTAAAAAGTCTGGTGGTCCCAAGGTAGTTGGTGCTAAGTCGGGTGATAGGAAGGTAGTTGGTGCTAAGTCAGGTGGTCAGAAATCAGTTAGTAAGAAGTCTGGTGGTCCAAAGGTAGAAGGTGCTAAGTCAGGTAGTGAGAAGTTAGGTCACATTTTATACTATATATTGTTTACCATGCCAACACAGCTTTGCTTGTAGAAAACATTTAGGAGTGGAGTTATTTATAAAATCCCTTATACCATCCAAGTGGCAACTCAATAGTAAGTTTGATTTTGAACAAGAGCAGGAGGAATCACCATTACAAAACATTGTGCTAGTTAAAAGGGAAACTGAAAGTACCAAAAAAGTAGAACCATTACCAGAAATAGAAAAATACAACAAAGCAATGGAAATTTTGAAAGATATGGCATCATTTTAGCTACTTGTGGACAGGAAGAATTCATTGAAAAAATAGAACATTTAAAATCTTTAAAAGAATCCTGGGAAAGTAATCAAAAAACTTGTACTGATATTACAGAAATAATTGAACACTCTAAAGAATCCGAATCACAACCAGATACTCCTTTAATAGAAAAAGATAATTGCATTGAAAGTAAAGTGGATAATGAAGTAAGAAACATAATGAAAATAAATGTTGTAAAACAGCGTAGAGGTAGGCCAAAGGGAAGTAATAAACCATTCTATCATTTCTCAAAAACAAATAAAAGAAAAGAAATTCAATCAGAAAATATTAATCCAAAAAAAGTTAAGCTTTCTCAAAATAATGAAAATTTATCAGAAGAAAAAAAATCAATGATTGAAAGAGAACAAATGTTGGATGATACAGTGATATTAGCAGCTCAAAACTTAATGTCAGAACAATTTAATATGAAAGGTTTGCAACCAACTATATTTTCTCAGCATCTGGACAATTTCAAAAATGTAACGGATCCTATGGTACAAATTATGTTTGAAGGTAATAAAAGTGCTGGTCATTGGATTACAGTATCTACCGTTAATTGTAATATAGATGAGGTAAATTTGTATGACAGTCTTAATAAGAAAGTTTCAATGGAAGCTCAAAAACAAATATGCACCATTCTAAAATCAGAAAATTCCCAAATATCTGTTAATCATGTTCCTGTTCAACAACAATGTGGAGGTGTAGACTGTGGATTATTTGCAATAGCATTTTCTGTAGCAATCTGTTTTGGAGAAGATCCTAAAAATATAATATTTGATCAAAACAAAATGCGTTCTCATCTTGTAAACTTTCACAATTTTTCCAAATACGCCAAAGTCAAAATCAACAAGAAATTCAAAATATGGAAAATTCAAAATTCAAATTTATTGTAACTGTAGACGACCATATGATGAAGATGTAGACAATATGATAGAATGTACAATTTGCAATGAGTGGTACCATACTAAATGCATTAATCGGAAATCTGTGAAAAAAATTCAACAATCCTGATGCTCCATTTTACTGTAGTGAGTTCTGTGAAGCAGATAGAAGACCAGTATAAAACTTTAATAAAAATATAATGAAATCAATAAATAACATTAAATCCAGTTACAAAATTACTTTTTTAAGATAATAAATTAAATAATTCAAATTATAAATTCAATTTTTTTTGTCACAAATGAAATTCTAAAGCAAACAAAAAATGCATGAAATTTTAGCAAAAACAATTAGATATCTAGCATTCTGATTATCAGTAAATTATTCAGTAAATTAGTAAATTTCATTCAATTTTAGTTTAAAATTTAAAATTTTAATATTGGACTCAGGGTAGAACCACGTCCGCGTCGTTGAGTCTGGAAACATTTACATTAATGGCTAAGAGTTCTACATTTTTTCCTTGATTTTTAGCTGGAGGAAACTGTCCTGTCTGGTGTTCATATCACTCTTTACTTAGGGATTATGCCTATAAATCCCACTTTATGTGACACAATTATATGAAGAAAAAGAAAAGAAATTTTAAAATTAAATTCAAAATTAATATAAGTAGAATCTACATCCATGTTTTTGAAACAAGTAATAAGCTAGTAATTAGCTGCTATTGCTACATATATACTGTAGATGCAAAAAGACAGATTTTACGTGTCACAGTCAAGCAAGTTTGAACTGTGTCAGAGGGGAAATTTTGTACAAAAATTCAGTCAAAGTTACACGACAAAAACTAATCCAGTGATATCCTCCATTGAACATATTTACTATGATAATAATTGCAACAAATATTTCATCAGTCGAAGTATATTAGAGAGAAAATTGTTCATTATACATTGTTGAACTGTGACACGTAATTTACGTGGCACAAAAACCAACAGCTTTAAGCAACAAATACGATCCTCTGTCACAGAAATCACGTATTGTCATCACTATATAAATACATAACTTGACTCATATACATCATATTAACATCGTGCATTACATAAAATGTCACAAAATTAGTTAAATTTATCACGAAACATCATTATTTAACTCCAATACAAGTAACGTATATCATACACGGCAGCCGTGACAGTTTACCTTGTGCCACTTGACATCGATGTGCGCATGCGTCATTTCTAAAAATACGTGGTAATAGCCGGTACAGTTATTGCCACGTACGTGTCAATAGCGGTTGCCTTTTTTTTTTTCATATTTCCATTAAATGAATATTTTGATGCCATGTCGGTATTTCTCTTTCTTTTTCAGTATGGCAATACCATGCTCATATTTCAATTCCATTTCGCAATATTTTGATAATCGTGACAATATCCTAAATATCTACACTTAACCGATTTCAATTTGTAATTGATTTCAATGAAAATTTCACAATATTTGTTCTATGTGATGATGTCAGTAAGCGTAAGAGCTATAACAGACTGACCATAACAAACGACGGAATTAATTTTAAAGTTACTATTTTCTTCGATATTTCAGTCTCGTCACTATGTATGAACTATATCGGCAGATCAAAGATTCCCGTTTTTCCAACTGGCTTGATGTTGCTGTGGGCGTATCAATTACAACAAAAGGAATATCAGACTATCTGGAAGCCACTATCGTGTCTTTACATCACGATATAAAATATGGAGCATGCGCAGGACTGCCGAATTGTAGACATAACTGTAGCAGGACTGAACAGAACCTTTCTTCGTGGTGTCCTACATGTAAGGACTGGAAGAAACAAATCATGCTGCACAACAAATACAAAACGAGAGACAGACAGATCAAGTGGAGTGAGATCAATTCTTCGCAATGGCCATATGATATCAACGAAATGGTAAAAGTGTTCGCCCCTGATTGGTGGAAAGCTAGGACACCTTACACAGAAGACCTATCTGTAGCTTTGCATGTGTTTCATAACTGTAAGAAATTTAACATTCTTTTCGAACCTTGTCAACGTGTACGAGGTGTAAGGAATGCTCTTTTTGCACATGGACAACTTGAAGCATCAGATATTGAAAAGAAACAGGCTTTGATAGTCCTAGTTGCATTTCTTAAACAACCGGAAATTTCTAGAACAGTATCCGGTAAACTCGCCATTTCACAGCTAAAAAGATTAAGGTCCAATAGTGTCATCAATCTGATAACCAAGGAGGAATCTTTCAAACAACACCTAGCCAAAGCTCTTAACCCTATAAATATGGAGGATACCTCAATGCTTGGCCAAAATGACATCATCCAGGAAATGAGATTGCAATTATATAAACCTAAGGAGGATATTGTAAATAGAATATCGCGACGGCCAGCGGCACTAATTGGAGTGTTTGTACTTTCACTTCTCCTGTTTACATTCCTGTTTACGTTTTACTGGAACAAGTCCGTTAATACAGGATTAAAAGAAAAAGGTAACGAAATTAGAAAGTGTTGAGAATGTGTATAGTATAAATATATATGCAGTTTGGTTAACCTATTGATAAGATGTTAGTTTACGTGGTGAGTGTTGGCGATGAAGGAGAAGACGCTTACACTTCCGTACACCTGGTTTTATTCTCCTTGCCCTTTTTCTAGAATCTTTGTTTAGATCTTTGTTTTGTTTATATTTGGCTCTAATTGTATTAAATTCGAGTTTGGATTAAGATTATGTTTGAAGTTCGAAGCAAACGTTATTTCCATCATGTAGAAGAAAAATGTAACGTATTGCATTATATTCTGTTTTTCCCATTATCTTTAAACATTCTAGTGTCAAAATAGAAAACGATATTCTAATGTTTCAACTTTGTTTTTTTGATATTACAGATTGTCTGCCGATGACTTTTTCTAGCCCCTGTCCTTGGAAACCTGATTTCACCTTCGACAGCTATCTTAGCGATAGATCCACTCTATTCGGACGGAAGTGGCTCATCAACAAAATTCAGTTCTCGTTAATGGCTACATCATTGAGAGGTATCATGCTCACTGCGGAAATGGGATACGGTAAATCTACTTTAGTATCTAATCTACTTTGTGACGATGAACTGTTTGGTGGTTCTAGATTACACAAGTACGTGTTATCATATCATATCTGTAAATTTGATGTAATCAGCACACAGAAACCAGAGTATTTTATCAAAAATCTCGTTGGTATGTTGATAAGTAAATTGCCAGAGGCAGGAAATGCCATTTTGACTGATGAACTAGCGATGAGGTTTTTACAAACCAGTAAATGTGCGGAGGATCCTGTTGGTTGTATTGATGTCGCAATCATTCATCCTTTACGCACACTAACATTTAATGAGGAAAGGTATGTTATCATTGACGCAATGGATGAATGTGGAGAATCTGCCGCCATTACTATGTCTCTTCTCGATGTTTTGTCTAAAAGAATTAGTAAATTGCCATGGTGGCTAAAATTCTTTATAACATCTAGAGACATAAACAGAGTAACGAGTAAATTGCCTGGAATGCAATTACTTCATGAAACTTCCAAAAATAACCAGAATCGAAAAGATATCGCCATGTTTATCGATAGCGTTATGTCCATACACCAAACATCATTAACACGATTGTTTGGAGAATATATTGATACTAAGAAGGTAAGAAAACACATTTTAAGGATAGGTGGATCAAATTTTTTATATGTAGACCTCGCTGTTAAATTTTGGATTGAATCACCGCACAGCAAATTGTCAGATATTCCTCAATCTCTTAATGAGTTTTATGCTATGAATTTAGATCGTGTTTTTGGCGATAATGAACACTTGTATGGCCTTGCCAGAAATGTGTTCGAGGTGTTATGCATTTCATATCAGGGATTAGAACTGGAGGAATTAGAAGCTATTTTAAATGTAACAGCATATCCATATGAACTGAGAAATCTTCTTGGAAACCAAATTGCGCATTTCGTCACACACAAACATTACATAAGAATATATCACAAAGCCATTTGTGATTATCTTACTAATAACGGTTCTGCCTATCATAAGTATCATATTTCTATCTCTAACGGCCACACACTCTTTGCAAATTATCTTTTAAGGGAATACAACAATAGTATTGAAAACATTCTTGATCTGTTCATTCACGTCGCCGAGTCAAAAGATTCTGATCTCCTACATTCTCTCCAACATAGCAATTATTTTCTGAGAATGAATTTGTCTTCGATCAAACATCTTCATCAAATGGCCAAAACTAGAAATTCCTTTCTGGGTACCAAATTACTAATCAGAGCTCTTGGGCGACAACATATCGATAGCTTAACATCCGCCAACGTTACAGCTACTTTTCTCGCGGCGGCATTTGGAAATTCGGAAACTCTTCGAGCGTTGATTGACGAGAACGGAAACTATTCGTTCAGAGTAGCAAATCCTCCAAACAAAGGGGGATTAGAAGACGCGGTCAATCACTGTAAATATAAAACATTGTGGGGATATGGTTTACTAGATATCGCATCTCAAAATGGACATACAGAGGTAATTAATTTGTTATTGGCTAAAAATCAGACATTGCTTTATTCTAAAAATGGACTAGGTCTTACTGCTGTTCATTTAGCTGCCGAACATGGCCATGTACATATTTTAGATACGTTTTTGGAAAAAGATAATACTCAAGCCGATCACCATTCGCTTTATTTGGCATCTAAGAATGGTCATCTTTTATCTGTTAAAACCCTGTTAAGACACGGTGTTAAGGATTCGTGTGTTTGCTGTGGAGATAAATTACATTGGATAAGTAATAACACGAAAAGAATGCAGTGGCATCCGTGTTATAATACAAGTGATGGGATTCAATGTGTAACATATATAGAGGATGAAAATGCTACGTTTGTTCTAAATGACGATTTGCGATTAGTGAAATGTACAACCGCATTAGAAATTGCCTTGCAAAATGGCTACAACAAAATCGCATCTCATCTACTTTTACAAATTCCAAATGCCCTCTCTTGTCGGGAGTATGGGGGGAGGACTGCATTTCTTACAGCAGTTAAATATAATCAATCCGATGTAGTCGATATCATGCTAAAGAAAGGAGCAAATGTTACCGACAAATGTGAACGGGCATTTAATGTAACCGTAAGATATTCCTTGAGTTTTTTCAGTGTCAATGAGATAATCGCGTTAGAGAATGATATGTGTCCACTAGGGACAACAGTAGAACATTTCGTCGCAACGAGTGGTAATAAAGATATAGCTGAGCGTTTGCGTAATAAAGGTATCTATTTGAATTGGAGAGTCCAAGATGAATCGGGTAATACGCCATTACATTATGCAGCTTGTAATAATGAGTGGGAAATGCTTATCTATATGATAAATACTGGGAATGGCGATATATATCTGGAAGCGAAAAACGGATCGCTGCCGATACATTCTGCCGTTCTTTGTAATGCGATTATGTCGTATGCTGCTCTTCAACAATATCATGTAAGATCAAACAGAATACTGATAGACAATGAAGGCAGAGGTTTGTTTCATTACCTCGTATCAGGTTCGGAGCATTCAAAGGATGTAAATGCTATGATATACATGTTAACTTCAGATAAGTATAAGTTAAATACATCCACTACAGACAAACATTCGAATAATTTTCTCCATTATGCTGCAGATATAGGAAATCATTACATTATAACTGTATTCTGTGTCGTGCACAATGCGTCACGTTTACTGGTCGCGGAAAATAACGTAAATAAGACTGTGATAGATATCGCGTTTGATAAGTTACCGCAACAACAAAACGTTAGACTTTGCTTTAATTGTTTGTTTGGTGATCAAAATTTTCAACAGGAAAATATGAGTAAGGAGGAAAGAGTAATCAATCAAATATTTCAAATTATGTCGGAACATTCCTATATCCAAAAAGTTGTTGACTTCTCAAAGTATCATAGACTTGCTGTTCTCAAAGGTAACACATTAGTTCGTCATATTGTTACTCTGAACCAGCCGAAACCTTTGATTTTACCAATGGATACAGACCTGATAACCGAATTCTTTTTGATAGAACAACCCCCCGTGGGCATGATAGCTCTACTCTCAGATTTCTTTTTTGACTTTTGTAACAAATCTCTTGAGAAAAGTCTAATTCATAGAGTGATAAGGAATGACAACAACAAATACTGGATTTATTTTTCTGATACAGAGGAGATGTTTAATGTTCTAAAATCCAAAACTATGAGGTTTTGGGATACATGTTACGACAGAGATGGTTACAATATACTTCATCATGCAGTTATGGGTGGTAACTATGAGACAGTGAAATTCTTGCTTAGTAATGGTCTGACGCTTAGTGGACCTCCTTTATCTAAAGTTACTGATCTGATTTCCCTTGGTGTGACACATGCAGATATATATGAATATGGTCACTTAGAATCACGTCCTTGGATGGTATATGAGAAACTTTCTAACATTAAAACGAAATATGTACTCGGCGTAATACACCGTGAAAAAAATTGGTATTGGTCTGTGAAGAACTTTGATGCCACAAATACTTACATACTATCTCAAATGATGAAATCAAAGAAAGTAAAATTTGCACACTTATGTATGGCAAATTCTAAAAGGTTAAGTTTGGTGCACTGGGCTGCTATCAAAGGCCAATTGTCTCTTCTAAAAACTATGCATAATGCTTTTGGACAGCGCGTTCTGCAATGTACAAATTTCTATCAATTTACTCCTTTGTATTTTGCTAAAATTTTCAATCATTCTGATGTCGTGAAAGTTTTAAAAAGTAAATGTCCGGTTGAAATTCTTCCCCAGGAAATGGCAGAATTATTATTCTTACAAAGTTTCGCGGCAAGTAATGTAACCGAACTAATTAATATTCCAATTTATGTTCATTTTATTGTAAGGCTAATTCATCCCTATTTATATCAACTTAAAACAACGAACAGTTTTATGTTCTACCGAAGTCTAGCTCGTATGTGTTTTGATCTCAGTGGAATTATACCTGAACTTTCTGCTATGTTGCAGGCTTTTCAATATATACCAAATGATTTGAACGATATCCTATCAAAATATTCAAATGAAACACTTGATAAAGTAAACTTAACAAGGGATGTTGTAGATGACAAATCAACTCTACGTGAAATTTTAAAAAATATAACTGATCAGACAATCAAATATAATCGAATGATTGCAAGGCATTGTAATCTGATGGTTATGCTGTTGAGATATACAGATTTTGTTTTAGTTAGAATAAAGGCAAGTACGCTTTTCATAGATGCAATATACGGAACGATACGTATAAATCATCAATTGTTGAGTCATTTTCAATCTTCAGTTATACAGAAAGTGCCAATATCAGCATTCCATTTCCATAGAATTACTGATGTAGATAGAAACTACACGAGACATATGACTTTGCACGCTATAAAGGATTTTTATGCTTTTAGGAGAAAGTTTTTCAGTGATATGGGAACTAAATATTTCCCATCTAAATTCGACGTTTCAGAAGCTAGATTTTATACCTTAGATAATATTATCCGTCAAAAACAGTCTGTGTACGATATTTTAATAGCGATGAAAAATTTCAACAAGTCTTTAGCCAAACTCTTTGACAAGACGGAACAATCAATATCTCCATTAGATAAGTATTGAAGCAATATCAACGGGGTTAACGAATTACAAACAACACCACATAATAGGTTCAAATGATCATATAACACGTTGATATAGGCACGTACAAATTTTGCAATTTCATCACTTTTTGTGTTTTTAACCTTTAACACATACCGTTATGTCAATGAATGGACATACAAAACGAGACAAAATATTGGATTTTTTTATCGTTGTACCTTGAAAAAAATCATTATCTCTTTTTGAACTGTACAGTCCTGAATATGTAGTGGTGATCTAATTATGAAACCTCTTGCAGTTTGTAATTGGGCCTAGTATATGTCACAAAACACAAGAAGAGGTTTCATGCCGAGAGTTGATATATTTTTTGCGGTTTATATTTTTGTGGTGTATAAACAGTATGTGCCAAATCGTTTTTATTTACCAGTTATACTACATATAGAGTACCTTGCGTTTATCATAATCAAGGGGCACAGACAAAATCATTCTATCAGTTGCAGAGTGTATCTGTTCTTTTAAACGTACCTGCAGTGTTAATTTAGATGGGAAAAGATAAATTTGATGGCTTTGATAATTATTCAATCAAACTATATTTTTTCCAGTTCCATCCGATTATACTCCAAACTGAACATGTTTTATGTAAATTATAGCATAATGTAAAGCTGTTGGTTGTTGTCATTTCTTTTCATCTCCATGTTTCAATTTTGTTGAAGCTATAATCACACACTGCATATCGGTCTGTTCATGTTGAATTTACCAAATTCCTTAATGACCTGTGATGGTTAATGCCCAATAATATATTCCATTATTTGAATGCAAGAACCTGCTTCTCTAGTTAACAAATTTGTCTTCTTTAAATTGATGGATGTATCCAGATATATATATATATATATATACTGTAGTTCATTCTATTTATCTACAAAGATATGCTATTTACTTGCGTGTCTTTTGTAAGTCAAAGACTCCGGCATGTTTTGCTCGTCATATACATCACCTAACTATTTACGCAATAATTCTTTGGCATGATAAATGACTATAGAATCCGTTTCGTTTCATATTTTCCTATCTCCAAAGAAATTTTATTCAAAGAAACCTCTTTAGTCTATTTTTGTGTCATTTGACCTCTTAGAATTATTTAAAAAAAAAAAAAAAAATGAGTTCTAATCAGACTCGTCAATGAGCCTAAGAAACTTCAGCGTTGAAACCTATGATACTACTAGGAAAATTCAAATTGGTCGAAGAAGTGTAATAAGATCTTGATAAGGAGGTACATTAAACTGATTATTCAGTGATGGAGATCTTTCATCGTACACATATGTATGCCCGCAACCTGTTTTAATCTAAATTTTATTCGAACTTTGTAATATTTTGTTTGTATTTGTCAACGATGTGCAAAATATAAAGTTACCTTATAAAAAAAATTACACTCAACTTTATGTATGTGTCTGCCTAATCACCGCAACACATATCAGTGTTGAACATTAACATAACTACTCAATACCTATCAAAAGAGATATTGAACTACATGTATAAAAGATATATTTTTTCATAAAAATCAGTTCTGTGATATTCATTATATATATGTTGTTACTCACTTGTCAATAAAGCGTAATGACATGTAAATTTCAAGACTTGTATTGTTTTTTTTTTAATTCTGCCTGATTAACAGCTTTCTTTTTGTTTTCTTTATTTTTCTCAATCATCTTTTCACCGATGTTACATATCTACATTGATTATATATCTGGTCTGTTGTGTTATACCATAGAGCCATGTCATCATTGAGACTCGTATGCTTACGCACTATTGTTACGTCATAAATAAGTCTTGTTTTTAATAAGTCACATAACTCTCGTAAATTTTCGTAAATATGGGTTAAACTTTAGATACATCCTTACATCCGTGAACAGCATCTGCATGATTTTATAAATAACTTTGATATAATAACATCTTTCACATAATCTCAAATATCGAAAAGGAACAAACTTACATTTTCACCGAGATACTAATGAAAGACATTTGTATCATTTATAGACAAACTCTACCCCTAAATGACTTATTTTGTGGAGGTGATCGGACATTATTAAATTTACCCTAAATATATGATACAAAAACAATATACATTGGTGTGTTTCCACGAACTTCAGTGCACTTGCGCTTTGATATTGAAAAAAAATAAGATAAGATAAACTGAATGTTCTGTAATGTTGTTGAATTGTGTTTAGGTTGTGATAGTGATGCTAAGGGCCTAAAGTTTGAAGTCTAAGTGGCGACTGTGGTAACTCAAAAGTAATCAAAAGTCAAAATCTTCATTGAATACACTAGCTCAACAATGCAATGAATTTCGTAATTATTAATATTAATACGATTATTCTCAAGAACCCACTTGCTTGAAACATTAAATATTATTAAGAAACTTCACAATTGATGTACAAAGGTTACATGAAATGTGCGAAATATAAATTCCTAGAATTGTTGATAAAAGTAAAATGTGGTTCAGTTTTGTCAGATTACGTGGATATTGAGAAATAAGAAACATTATAATCTTGCGAGAGATAAAAAGTATCCATTTGATGGGTGATATACGTGAAGTATCTTAATTTATTCATCAAAAACATATTTGTTTTTAATATATTGCTATTAAAACGAGATAAGTTTCTTTATTCCATTTAGATAGATTTCAACATGTTACCTATTAATATACAGAACAAAGCTTAAATTACATCATAATAAAGAAACTTGTCATCTTCTTGTCAAAGCTAGCGAAGCCAATAATCACTATCCTTTCCCGGAGAGCAATATTTATCATTCCTTGTTAAGGAATATTTGTTAATAGCCATCTCTAATATATCAAATTTCGAATTCTGTTAAAACTCTCCTATTATTATACACCTCGGATATTTGTTAATAGCCATCCCTGCTGTTTTACATCTTGTTGATGCAACCCTATTATTATACGTCTCTGACCCTCATTAAAACGATATTCAAACCATTCACATTACATTTTCAGATTATAAAAATAACGCCTTTGAAGAGTTATTTTTAAATTATTTGTGTGTCTTTTGGATAATCGTAAACATTAAGTATATGGATTGTATCCTCGACTAGAATCATAGCTGATGTAATTGCCACTTATCAATTTCCTGAAATGCCGATTGTAGAACGTATGTTAAATTCACGTGAAATAATCTATATATTTATATCTTTGTAATTCTATAGATGATTACTAAAATTTAATATATTTCCGTTCCGTCCACCTTCATAGTGTGGATGAATTAAAGAATGCCGCAACGAAATTATATGCTATTATATCATAATGTTTAATTAAACATTAGATAATATCAATTTTATAAATACATGAAGAACAAAACAGCTGCATCATGCAATTAAATTCTTTCATTGGCGCGAATATCTTAATATTTTCCCCATTTTTTGTTACAATACATAGACAAGACGATACAAATATCCCTCCACATGTATTTCTATTGGCGCCGGTATATCAAACTCTAAATTTGTATTAAAGGGCTCTATGTCTTTTGTCCTTTGTTTGTGATATATAATTTTGCATTTGGATGTAAATTTCCTGCCAATATATACCGTCTCGCAGTTGCCTCCTTGAAAAGCCTGATATAGGTTCCCAATGTTTTAATTTCTTTTTATCAAGTTTCGATATATCAATATTAACATCTTATTATTGACATTCGATCTTTTACCGATTTACAATTCCAAATTATTACTTATATTATGCCAATCAATATGCAAAGTCAGCGACTATGTTGTTCTTATGTGCACCCAGCCCCAATTGCTCATTG